TCTACATAGAAACCCCAAAAGCACTACCAAAAATGTGTAGAATTAATAGCCAAATACAGTAGCATAGCAACATACAAAGTCAACACTCAAAAATCCAAAGGATTCTTATATACAAATAAACTCACTGAGACAGAAATTAGGAAAACAATACTTTTCAAAATAGGATGAAGAAAAATGAAATACTTAGGAATCAACCTAATGATGGAAGGAAACAAACTTTATGTGGAAACTACAGTGCTGTGAAAAAGGCAACTAAAGGGAATATCAGAAAATATCCTCTGTTCTTGGACTTGCAGAAATGATATAGTGAAAATGGCCATACTTCCAAAACTGTTATACAGACTGACAATCAAATACCAACAGCGCTCCTCACAGAATTAGTGGAAACAATCCTAAAAGTCATATATAGAACCAAAAGAGACCCAGAATAACAAAAGCAATCCTGGGCAACAACAGCAAGCCAAAGCAAACTTCACCTCACAATCCCCGAGGTGAAGTTATACTACAAAGCTACAGCAATTGAAACAGCACGACACAAACACAATATAAAGCAAAAACAAAAAAAACAGACTTGATGATCAGTGGAACAGAAGAGGTAGAGATAATTCTATGTACATTCAGTTATCTTATCTTTGACAAAGCAGACAAACACCTTCAAGGCAAGAAAGAGAGACTCTTGAATAAATAGTGCTGGGAAAACCAGCTTTCCACATGCTGAAAATTGAACCTGACCCACATCTCTCACCATGCACTAAACTAAAGTTGGAATGGATCAAAGATCTAACTATAAAAACAGAAAACATTTAATCTTCTGGAAGATAAATAGGTAAAACTCTTGAAGACTCAGGTGTATGCAAAGATTTTATGAACAATACTCCAGTTGCACAGGAAATATTACAAAGAATTAATGTTAGACCTCATCATATTAAAAAGCTTTTTCACAGCAAAAGAAATCATCAACAGAGTGAAGAGATAATCCACAGAGTGGGAAAAAATTTACCAGCTACTCCTCATACAGAAGTCTAATATCTAGAACATACAAAGAACCCAAGAAATCAGACCCCTCAAATTTAAAGACCCAATCCAAAAATGTGTATCTGAAATGAACAGACACTTCTCAGATGAAGTACAAACAGCAAATAAATACATGAAAAAACTATTCAACATCACTTGTCATTCTAGAAGTACAAATCAAAACAACACCAAGATCCATATCTCACTCCAGAAAGAACAACTGCTATCAAGAAGTCAACCAATAACAAATGCTGGTGAGGCTGTGAAGAAACAAGAACTCTTTTCCTTTGATGGAGGGGGAGTATTAACTAGTACAACCAATAAAGAAATCAATATGCAGATTTTTCAAAAAACTAAAAAGAGTTTGCACTGACCTAGCTATTACCCTTTTAGGCATCTTCCTGAAAGAACTGAAAGCATCATGCCACAATGATGCATGCAAGCCTATGTTTACAGCACCACAATTTATAATAGCTAAATCTTTGATACACTCCACATACTCATCAGAAGATGAATGGATAAAGAAAATGTGGTATTAACAAACAGTGGAGTATTTCTCTGCCATTAAGAGGGATAAACTTGATTCATTTGTAGGTAAACCTTGAAATCACAATTTTAAGTGAAATAAATAGACACATTAGTTTAAATATCACAGTGTTTCTATTTTGTGAGAAACCCCAAGGGAGGTACAAAATGGAAAAGAGATCTTGGAAGTAGGAAGAACATGTTCAAATGGGAACGGGAACAAAGGAAGGATAAGGGGAAGGGAAGGAAAGGCAAAGAGATTGAAGAAAAGAATGCAAGTAAAAACATGGACCAATGCTTCTGCAAATGGGGGAGGAGTGGAATCAGGAGAAAAGGGACAAATCAAGATACTATATATAGGTACAAATTCCCTAATGAATGTGAGTAATATGTATGGCAAACACATCATAGCAAAAAAAGTTTCTTTTTCTTGCTGGGCATGATGGTGCATACCTATCAGAACTTGGGAGGCTGAGCAGGAGTATTTCCAAGAGTTTCAGGTCAGCTTGGGCTGCAAAGTAAATGCAAGACCAACTGATCCGCATAGTGAGATTCTATCTCAAAAATCCAAAATAATTTTTTTGATGACTTAAACCAAAACATAGATTGTTTTCTTGCTATAGGCACTGTATAAACAGGTGTTTGCTTATAGTTAGTTTGTGATAGAGATACATTTCATATGTGCTTTGCCTTATAAAATATGTTAGAAATGTAGGTTACAGATAGACATTTCTGTCACAAGTAGTTTTTCTTTTTAGCTTCATAGTTTTCATAGGATCAGAATTGATATGTTTTTAAAAGCCATCTTAATAACTCTTTTATAAGTGAAGAATAAAATATCCCTAAAACCATGAAGTTGTGTTAAGGCATAATGAACTAATTATAGAGAATACTAGGCAAATGGTATATTTATAAATGGTGCAATTAAAAATAATAAATATGTAAATTTCTCATTGCTTAATTTAATTCAATCCCAATTTATATTCCAAGAAGGCTTTTGGCAGTATATCATGAATCTACTGAGAAATTTACATAGGCAGTTTGGAAAAATAAAGGCATAGAGAAGAGCTTCTTTATCAGACATATAATCAAATATGTAGCTGGCTCTCCCTGTCAGTGCACCCAAAGACTCAACCAACTGTAGAGCAAAAATAATTTGGGGAAAAAACATGTCTGTATTGAACAGGCAGATGTTTTTCTTGTCATCATTCCCTAGGTAACATAATATATCTGCATTATGTGTCATAAATAATCTGTGAGTGATTTAAATATATAGAAGGACATGTGTAAGCTATATACAAATACTGTACTATTTTATATAAGGAACTTGAAAATCTACAGATTTCTGTATCTTAGGGTTCAGGAACCAGTCTCCACAGATATCAAGGGATAACTGTGTTACAAAGCAAAAATAATTGAAACAACGTATATCTTAGTTAGTTTTCTCATTGCTGAGACAAAATACCAATACCCACATGATAAAGGAAGAAAGGTATATTTCAGCTCACAGTTTGCAGAGAGTTCAGTCCATATTTGCTGGCCCCACGGCAGGGCAGCACAAGTGGATGTCATAGAGGACCAATAGTTTACGGCAGGGAGAAGGCAGGGGGCAGAAAGCAGAGCGGCATGCCTCCTCTCTCCCCTGATTGGTGTGGCCCACACCCAGGTGAGGCTTTCACTAACCGCACCCAGGACGTGCTAATTCCAATTAATGCAACTCCAGTTTACATCCCAGGATATAATTTAGCACCACTCACCAGTCTTACGTGCCCTAGAGACAGCCAGTTGCAAATAACCCCGCCTGTGAAAGTGTGAGGCTTGGGGGGACATCAAAATATAAGCCCCAAAAGTATTCAGAATTCAATTAAATGATTCTTTGTATTGTTTTCTTAGCCCAAATTTCATTGATTGCTGCTCTTATTTTACTAATTTGCTTCCTTACACAAGTTCTGGATTTGGATTGTTCTTGTTTCTCTAGGACCCTGAGGTGCATCATTAGGTTATCTACTTGGACTTGCTCTGTTTTAAAGGACACTAATAATCCAGAAGATTATTAGTAAGTACTTCACAAACTTTCATGCCAATGGATTGGAGCACTCAGAAGAAATGAAGAGATTCCTGTGTATATATATAAATGACAAAAACCCAACCAAGAAGACTTAAAAACCCTAACTAGCCCAGTAATAGGCAATAACAAGGAAGCAATAATAACTTTCTACCTAAGAAATGATTAGGAACCGATGGATTCACTGCTGAATTCTATAAGAACTCCAGGGAACATCTAATGCCAATACTCCTCAAAATCTTTAATTAAGCTGAAAAGGAAGATGTACTTCCAAAGTCATTCCTGGAAGCTAGCATTACCCGACTCGAAAATAGTGCTGCAAACCTCTACTAATAAAAATAAACAAACATAAGGAGTCCATTCGCTCTCACAGCTGTCCAAACTATCCAGGGCCTGACCTGAGCGATCCAGGGCCTGAGCACTGTATCTCCTACCTGTCCCCAGATGATTTAGTTTTTAGCTTATTTCTGATCTGCCCACCCCTGTGCGCAGAACACCCTTGTGTTCACGTTGCCAGCATGTCAACTCACTTTCTAAGTACTGCTTAGATCAGTGGTCTCAAAGCCCACTTAATTCATAGTTAAAATGTTGATTTTTTTTTAAAAAGAGCAAACAATAAGCATTTTAAACTGTGTATTTCAAAATGTTTTGCATATTTTAAAAGAAGAACTCAGTAAAAGAGGAGAGCCTGAAGGATCAAATAAAAAGTGAACAATGACAAAGATACAGTGGAAGAAACAAGATCATACAGCAATAGGATGAATTCTGTGCAGGTAGAGTTTTAAACTTTGTTCACTGCTAATTTCCATATGCCAAGAATAATTTCTGCCATGTAGAAACTGGCTTATTAAATGTCTGATGAATAAATTAAGGAACAGGCACAGACATACAAGAAACACAGTTTCAGATCCATTTTGTGGTATTTTAGTCTACTGTGACTTAAACCTGGTAAATTGTTTTGCGACTCTGATATTGAGTTACCATCTGTGTTACCTGTGCTGAGCACCCCTAATTTTAGATACGAAAACACTGTAGCTTTAATTATTCAACTACAGGCTTCTCTTTCAAGTCTTAATCTTGTTAATTTATCAGTTTGAATCCACATTTTGTTTTCATTATTCTTTGTGGTTTCCATCTTCAGATGTGAATTCTTTTCAGATAACCTGTGAAAAGTCATTTATTGGTTTTTTTGTTTGTTTTATTTTTTATTTTTCGTACTGGGAATCGAGCTCTTAACCTCATGCTTGCCAGGCAGGCGCTGGTGCTACTGAGCTGTAGCCCCAACCCATCATCTATTCTTACCTCTGCCTGGATTTGGGAATTATTCTTAAAAACATACAACCTTTAAATACAATATATTTTAAAGGTCATACATTCTTCACATGGACCTCTTTACCTGAGAACATGGAATCAGTGTTTCAAACTGTTGATGAAGTTCCAGAAGCTGAATCAACTCTGCATTTTTTTTGGCTTTTTCTTTAATTAAATCAATATAATTTTCAGGATTTTCTGCAAATGAGTATGCAGCATCTCTGGTACTGAAAGTGTAATACTTTTCTTTATATTTCAAAATTCCAATTGTTGGATTTCCTGAAAATCAAGAAAAATAACTGAATTAGGTATAAAATATTAAGTAATTCTATGTTTACAATATATCTATAAAACCATTCCCTATGTCCTCTATTTTTAACTTATCAACTATGTTTTCATAAATGATGCATTTTATTAAATGATATTTTATGTGAAAAGATTGTTAAAATTTTTATTTTAAAGTACGATCTTAAAATACATTGTGTATAAAACACTTTCCACTATCTAGATGAAAGATATTTAAAGATTCTCTATGAACTATAACTTAGACATCTGGCAGACTTTTTAAAAAATCTACTTAAGCTAAACTATTAAAGGATTATTTTTAACAAGCACTGCAACAAAGCCAAAATGGTCCATAAAGGATTATTTTTAAAATAACTCTGTGAGAATTATCAATGATCAAACATCTTTTCCAAAATCAAATTTACATGTTATAAAATATTTTCCATTATAAAAAGATTTGACATTGACCATAGATTACAAAATATCCCCAATTTACAGAAATTGTATTATACACAGTAATACTGTATTGTTCATTTACTGTTTAATTTGTGTAACAAGTATTTATTGAAAGAGTTCTTGGCATCAAGTAGACACAGGAAAACAAAGTTCCTGTTCTTATCAAATCACAAATACATCAGAAGCCAAAGAGTGACCGATGCTATAGGTAGAATGGAGGGAGAAGGGTGGGGAGGAAGGAAGAAAGAGCAAATCAAACACATGTAGAGAAAACTGCAAGTCCAAAGGCCCAGCAGTAAAAGCAGTCTCAGAATGTTCAAGAACAGCAAAGCCAGTGCTGCTAGAGCCGTGCAAACCAGGAGCGGAGTGGTGGCCATGAAGTCAGGGACACCATCTGAAAAGCATGCTGGGGAAAGCCAGAGTCACCTTGGGCTTTAAGCCCTGTGCTGTATGCCCCCGAATGGAAGGAGAGCTGATGAAGGTTTCTGCTGCCCAGAAATAATGCAGTAAACAGAACTGAGGCGGGCAGGACTCGCTTATTCGGAGAGCAGTCTAAAACCCATAGTTCTACTTTCCTGTTTCTCCCTATTCTTAGAACAATAGGTGGTGGACGATGGAAGGGACCATACAGGCCTCCTGCCTGGTGCTGGTACTTTCTCTAAGGGTGAACTGAGGTCCATAGAAGGCGGGAGCTTTGCTGAAGGCAGTCTTGTTCATCAGTGGAACAAACTGGGACTTAAAACCAGGCTTTCCTGAATGCAAGCCCACGGCCTTTCCAACCACATCGTGCCCTCTGTCATCACCCTATAGGCGTGTCTTTCTGTGTGTTTTCTTGGTTTCAAAAGAAAAGAAAGAAAAGCAGGGAGAGAAGAAGAAAGGAAAGCAAGAAGTGGCATGCACTCCATTCTTCTTTTTTTTGCACAGACTCTTAATTTTTTTCTCCCCAGGGTCAGTGATTATGATTTGGATCATTAATGACTTCCGAAAGGCTCATATATCACAGATGGGCCTTTTGGAAGTGACTGAAATGAGGGCACTGAATGGACTGTTAGGAGGCTGAGCCCAGCTGTAAGAGTAGGACACGAGGGAGCAGATGGCCTAAACTCAAAGGGTAGATTTTGACCCCAGCTCTTTCCTTTCTCTGCTTCCTGACTGCTGCGAAGTGGGTAGAATTCCTCTGTGATGCCTTTCTGCCACGGTATTTCTCCCTTGGAGCCAGCCAACCATAGACTGTAATCTCTAAAACCATCTGCTACAGTAAACCTTTCCTCTTTTAAGCTGCTTGTATCAGATATTTTCTCACAGTAACAAGATGTTGACTAACACATAAGAACCTCAGAATTCTATTATCTCAGTTCCCCACTGTAAGCTTTTTGTCACTCTCACTATAAAAAGGAACTATTATAAAAAATGAGCCAACTTGTGTGCCTTTACAGTATGTATGCATACAATTCCAATAATTCTTTTTAGTTAAAAAAGCAGCTGTTAAAATCAGTAACACAGAAAATAAATAAAAAAGAAAATGAAGGAAGAAGTTACTGGTATAAACAAGAAATAATTTTTTCAAACTTTTTCCTTCTAACTCTAGCATCCTTCTTATATTTCCAATTTACACAACGTTTTCTGGATAATAATTTATTTCTCTTCAGTGTCTGACTTACTCTTTGTTTTGGAGATACTGCAATAACCTATACATTATAGAGAAAATTTACTGGATAGAAAATATTTATTGGCTATTTCCTTAGAAGAATCTAACCTAGACATAAATCTTGACTTATGTATTTATAAAATGACAAAAAGTATTTTTAAGTAAGCATATCAGTCAAATAATTACTGCTTTACTTAGTAATTACTTTGGAACATGATTACTTTTATCAATACTATAGTAGTCTGGAATACTTTATTAGGTATTGAGTCATCCCCTTTCTGTAATACTATGACATACATGTATATTGTAATATAGGTTGAATGTATGTAATCTGAAAGGCCAAAATCTGAAATCTGAAATGCTCCAAAATCCAAAACTTTTTAAAAGGAGAATAAAACGGAACAAAATAAAGCCAATCAAAACAAAACAATGAAAGTGATACAGGACTTCAAAACAAGGTAACAAGAAATCAACAATGGCTATCATAGTATCTTTGAAATAGCTGCCCATGCCATCAGATATAGTAAAATCAACCCCCCCCAAAAAAAAAACAAGTAAAACAGAACAAAACAATGAAAATTATTTAGGACTTTAAAACAAGATAATAGGAAATTAATAATAGCAACCACCTTCAGAAGGAAATCCCCCATATCACTATATTGTATATTGTTATCTTCTAAATAGATACTCAGACTACCAGCTGTAAGCCTACAAAGTCAATCAGACAATACAGGCATTAAGTTGTTTTGTCTTGTTTTGTTTTTTTACTTGAGTGGCTGTCACCTCAGCCTGTGTTTCTCCAAGTCAGCGGGTTGCTGAGAGCAGTGGCTGGGAGGGTCCGCACTTTTTGTCTCGCAGCCCATGCCCCAGCTGGCTCACAGGAAGTGGTTAACCTGTCCCACATCTGCCTCTGGCTCACAGGAAGGAGTCAGCTTCTTCTTGGTTCTCTGTTCAGGATGCAGGCTGTCATGGGCTCCCTGGAAGGGTTTGGCGCAGCCCACCACTGCTGCTAACTCACCGGGAGGGGTTGGCTTTTTGGTTCTCTTTCTAGGACACATGGCTGCTGCCGGCTCACAGGAAGGGGTTCCAAAATCTGAAACTTTCTGAGCCTGATCTGATACTACAAGTTGGAAGTTTCATGCCCAACTTCATGTGACACTTCGCACAAGTCAAAACACAGACACACTAAAATAATTGTATAAAATTATCTCTGGCAATATGTGTGATATTCAGGAAATATAAATTCTGTATTTAGATTTGGGTCTCATTCCCAAGATACCTCATTATGTATATGAAAATATCTCAAAATTTAAAAAAAATCCAAACTCTGAAACATTTCTCCTCCCAAGCATTTCAGATTCACGCACATTTCATTACTTACTGCTTATAATGTATTCTCCATGTCAATCTGCAGGTTATACTGTGAGCACCTCTAGAACACAGTGTCTGGATCATCTCTGGATTTCCTTCCTAGTTTACCACCTGATTCCATAAAGTTTTACAGTCTGAGCAAGCAAGGGAAAATGACTCCATACAGAGGGAAAAATTAGGGAAGTGGGAGAAATACTGTTTCAAATAATGTACCTGGAAGAAGAAGACCATCAGTTGTAGCAAATGTGTAACCACAAAATCCCCGATACTGAATTAACAGTTTATCAAAATTTGCTGTTGTTTCTGGGAAAAGCCATTCGAGTTTTTTGAAATCTGATGCACGGACTTTATAATCTAAAATGAAAGAGAACAGAAAAAAACCCTCCTATTCAGTGAGATTAACTTTCCTGACTAAATCAGCAGTAGCTCATTAGAAACATTCCTTTCTTATTGCTTTGTATTCTTCCTGACAAAGATTTGATATAAAACCAGATCTATCAGAAGGGTTATTCATGCAAACAAGTACAAATAAACTTGTGACAGTCCAAGGTAAACATGACTTGCCGGAACAAACTTGGAGGTAGATCATTGCTTCAGAATAAAGAACCCAAGAAGAGAGGCCATTCCAGAATTTGTTTTTTCCTGAGTGAAAAACTTACTAAAGCATTTCTGAAAGTATTGATTCCTGCTACAGACTAAATACTCTAGGGGGATGAGCACAAGACACTGGTTACTATGTGACCATGGAAGAGATGGACCAGTTTCTTTCAATATAGTGGCACTCTTAATAAGATACTGGATGATAAAATACTTTGAATTGGATGTACCAAGATATTAAAACAGAAAATGTTCTAAGCAGAAAGAGCCAAGGAAATGTCTCTCACTCACCTGATATTAAAAACAAGGTAAACAATGCGTGTTCCTAATATTTTTAAAAGTTCTTCCAGTAATAAGCAAATTGAATGAATTTGTATACAAATAACACATTTGTAAAACATTATTCTCTGAGATTTTTGACTTTGTCAGTCTTTCTCATTCTAAAGCCAAACACTCTAAATAAATGACTTTGTGGCTACAATTACCAATGAATGCATAACTTGGAGAAAATATATATTTTTCCAAATATGCTCAAGGCCTCCAGCAATAGTAAGATGTGAGAGGTCAAATTAAATTATTTCAGAACAATAATGGCTCTTGTAATTCACAGGAGAGTAACTTAACAAATGATGTTTCAGTGAATAAAGCACGAGTTGATACATGGTAGGAAATGACGCATCTAAATGTAAGAATTTGCAAGTAAACTACCTTGCTAACAAGGTTTGGGTTAATAGCCACTGTTGAACTTAACTTTTCAATTTCATTTCATATTTCCTGCCTGTGCTATTTCAATAAACTGAAATAAGTAGTGAAAACTTCAACTTCTGAAAGGATGCTTTTGACTCTCTGATTTCAATTTTTGTAATTTCTAATCTACAGAAGGAAACCACTGTTACAGTTTTGAAATTTGAAAACAAATTCATATGTCATATGATTTTGTTTTCTGGGAAAAAACCTTAATTCAAGCTCCACAGCCTATTTTGCCATTTCTCATGAATTTAAATTCTTTAAGGTAGAAGAGACCAATAGGTAAAAAGTTTACTGATATTGACATAATTTCTTAAAAAAAAAGCAATTCATCTCTTGAAGGGTATAAAATAGCTCAATTAATTTGACAGTGATACAACTAATTGGTTTATAAATTCTCAAATTGAATCAGAGGTAGACATTTAATAAATAACACTATAAAGAAACAGAGCTCTGGGGCTGGGGATTTAGCTCAGAGGCATAAGCACCTGCCTTGCAAGCAGGCAGTCGTGAGTTCATTCCCTGGTACCGATAAAAACGAAAACAAAAAAAGACAAAAGAAAAAAAAAAAGAAAAAAGAAAGAAAGAAACAGAGCTCTATTCTTACCAAACATAGCAAGGATGAATCTCTTTTTCTACTAAATATCAATAATCAAATCACTAATCCTGCAGTAGAAAGATGTACACACAAAAAAAACATTGTTAACCAAAACATGAAAAGTAATATTAGGAATGGCTACTGCTGGATAGTAAGATACTTAGCTTATATATTTTTTGTTTTCCAAATTTTCTGTAGTGAACATTGAAACTTCATAATTGAGAAAGATGTTTAATACTTTATCAGAAAGATATAACATGAAAAATGTGAAACAAAAGTGCCTTTCTAGAGATAATTTTTTAAAACAAGAGCAAATAATAATTTTCATTACCCATTTGTTCTTGTATTCTGCTTGCGTCCGTTTTCACAGTCACGTCATCAAGAAGATCTTGCATTACTTTCTCAGGAAAGAGAATGTCATGAGCACCGAGGAATGGCTCAAGATGAGTAGTCAGATTACTAAGTATGCTAATCAAAACAGTTTCATCCTGAAAGCTGGTCCACAGATTGGCTAGGGCCATGAAGATGGGCTGGAGGAGAAACAAACATGCTCAAAATATAACCGTGTGATAAACGTATAGACCATTGCTCCCTTTAAAATAAATTCAGTTTTCCCAGGTATGATGGTACATGACTATAATACCACCACTCAGGAGGCTGAGGCAGGAGAATCACCTTGAGTTCAAGGCCAGCCGAGGTTACATAGCAAGAAAATAAAAAATACGTGTATATACACATAATACAATTGTCATTTGTAAAATTAATTCCTCCTTAAGTAAAAACTCCAAGTTAGACAATACTATACATAGAAATTTGACTCATAAATTATGAGAAAATCGATTTATATTTTATTTCAAAGCTTTCTATTTTACTCAAATTATACTAGAAAAATGCCAAACATATTTGATCACCTAACAAAAAAAAAAACACTTCACTTGAAAAGACTAAGTACAAAAAAAAAGCTAAATATGAATCATTATAGTACATTTATTGGGACAAATAATGCTTCATGAGAAACTAGAAAGTATAGCGATAGATCTTAGGGCATGTCTTGTGAGATGCAAATTATAGATTTTAGATTTTTTCCTACGTAATATAAAGGTCACTAACGTACAGAAAGAAAAAGAAGGAAATCAGTGTTTCTTGGTTTTTAAAGCCAAATACTGAGAATGAAATCATCAGTGTGTCAATGCTCTGTATAATACTCCTTGTATGTTTTATATCTGCTTGCTCAGATAAGAGCTGCCAAGTTTGTCCACACAATGATGCTGATAATCAAAAGACGAAGTCTATGCATGGTAAACAAAATGAGTATTTTATTATTTGTCCTTTGAGAAAGGTCACAAGTTACATCACCTGTGTGCCAGAGGAAATTTCTTTTTTCTAATCTAATTTTATGGGTACATTTTTGATATAATGATCACATTCATCATACAGAATTTGTAACTGCACATGATATGACTTTTTCCCCAGTCCTCTGCCCTCTTCAACCCCTCCTCCCCACCTCTTTCACTAGAGAAAATTTCTGACTAGCAACTATGAGTGCATTTTCAGCCCTGTGGTATAGATTATTTCTTTTCCCACAGTCTATACTGATGTTAAGTTCTCATAGTTGAGGTGGACATTTCCTTGAATTTCAATTTCTTATGAAGGAGAATACTTTCATTCAACATAAAGCAGATTATCACTACAAAATAACCAAAATGGACAACATAAATTTGTGTAAAATTAATGTTATATATTTACTAATTAAATATGATCACAGGGACTTCTAATCCACTTTTACAGGACTCCCAAGGAAATTTGCTTTAAGTAGGTCAAAACTGATGACAAATACTTACAAAGACTTGTGATGTTGGGACAGCTGTCTTCGATTTTACAGTCAGTTTTAATTGTTCCAGTTGGGCTGCTAACTGCTTCATCATCATTTCCACTTCTTGAGCACAAGTAAGTATATCTGACTGGATAAAACATAATTTGTGTTAATGTTTTAATAATTTCACTATAAGATCCAGGTGTGCTTTAATCCCTGCTGCTCCTCACCTTCCTTTGAGGTAAACTCAGGGACAGGATGGACTCTGTCCTTTATAGCATCTGCACAGTTGTAAATATTCGTGGAATCTATGAATCTTTTGAAATACAATGGATGTAATTTTTCTCAAATGGATGTAGCTATTCTGTAAATCTAATTGCATTCCTGAGAAATGAATTCCCAGGCATTCAGTGTGTACAGTTGTATTGCTGTTTATTTTCCCATTCCTCAATGATAAAATTAATGAAGTATTCCTCTGAAAAGTATTTTGTTTCCCTCTGAAAACTATTTTGATTCCAAGATTTAATAAATGACAGACAAATGTTAAAAATCACAGCATTAAAAGTAAAGTCGCTGTGGTGGTGCACACCCGTAACCACGGCACTCTGAGGGACTGAGGCAGGAGAACTGCAAGTTGAAGTCAGGTCGGACAGGGTAGAAAGTCTGACTTTTGAAAAACGGGGCTGAGGCATGCAATTCAGTGTGAAGAAAAGGGAAAGGCAGAGAAGAGAGGAAGAAGACATGAAGGAAGGAGGGAAGACGACAGAAAGGAAAGAAGAAAAGCAATACGTTTTTGATACAATAGTCAGGAAATAATTGCTAAATTTGAAATAATTATAAATTACCTAAGTTTACCAGTTCTATGCCCAAACCGTCTGAACACAGAGCTCAGCCTTTACCCAGCACGGGCATGAGGCGGTACTGGAGGTGCTCCTAGGGCTTCAAGCACGATAAACAAGTGCTACATCTTCATTCCTTGTCATTTTAAAAATGCCTTTTATACGGTGGGTCTTGCTAAGTTGCCTGGGCTGGCCTTGAATTTGCAACACTGCCTTGGCCTCCTAAGTACTAGCAGGGATTAGAGATGCGTACCACCACATCTGAGTACTACATGATTTTGAAATGACAAAAATGAATGAATTATGAATTAACCCAATGGTAATGATTTTTGAGATATCAAATATTACTGTAGTTCACCTAACAAAAAATTTTATTCATAAATAAAGCATGCGTCTTGCTTGAATTTTATCAACACTGCTACTTAAGCATTTTCTTCATTCTTCCACATAATAACATCTCTCCTGTCTAATAGGTCTTTCTTTCTTTAAAGTTAATTTTATTGGTACATTTTAGATGTATATAACATTCGTCACATGGAATTTATATTGTACATAATACATCTTGATTCTTTTTCTCTCTTTCCCTGCCTGCCTACAACCCCTCTCACCCCTCTGTTTACAAAAGCTTTGTTTCCATTTTTCTTTTTATTTGCTTTCTTTACTTCTCCCTTCCTTCCTGTCCCATACCTAGAGCCCCTTCCCATTTGAACATCTTTTTCCTATTTCGTAAGATCTTCTAATAACCTCTTTCTGCCTCACTGAGCTTTCTTGAACCACTCTTGCGAGTTTTGCTTTAGGAATTAAAGTTTAAAATGCAGTCTTTAAAAACATTTTAGATTTGTGCAACATAACAAAAAAATAGAAATAAATCATCCTGTGTTCTTCAAAGAAGTGGCATTTGACACAATACTTTTTAAAGCTGTAATGGAAGACATCTCAGAGCTCATGTCTCCCAGCTGGTTTCCAGGGTGCATTCACAATACTGTTGGATTTTGTTTCCTGACAGTAATCTAGAACCCTCATTCTATTTACAAATTACCAAAAGAATTTATTTGCAAAGGTACAGTTCTTTGTACTGTTAATCCTCTAGTGATAATATCACTTCAAAATTTCTATCATAGCACTAGTAAATGTTTAGGAAAAACCATGCGATACCACCATGCTTCTTCATCTCTCTTTTTCCTCCCTTGTGAAAGATTTTTATTTTTATTTTTTTGAGACAGTATGCTGCTGTGAAGTCCAGGTTGGTCTTGAACTCACTATGTAGTCCATGCTGGGCTTGAACTCACAGCAAACCTCCTGCCTTAGCCTCCCAAGTGCTAGAATTACAGGTGTAATTCATCATGCCTTGTTAGATAAAACTTTGATGTCATTAGGGGCAGGAAAGGCATTTCTGAACACAATCCTGGTTACACAGGAAATAGCACCAGGAATCAACAAATGGGATTATACCAAATTCAGAAGCTTCTGCACAACAAAAGAAACAACCAACAGAGTAAAAAGGCAACTACAAAAATGAAGAGGCAATCTAAAACTTGGCCAGCTGCTTCTCAGGAAAGGAGTAATATCTAGAACAGAAAGAATTCAAGAAAATTAAACTCCCAAAATAAAAGACCCAATTAAAAATGGGCAGCTGAAATGGATACTTCTCAGAAGAAGCACAGATGGCCAAGAAATATGTGAAGAAGTGCTCAACAATTCTGGCCAAATTAAAATATCACCAAGATTCCATCTTACCCCAAAAAGAATGGCTGTCATAAAGAGATCAAATAATAACAAATGCTGGCAAGCTTATGAAAAAGCAGGAACCTTTCTTCATTGTTGATGTGGGAATATAAACTAGTAAAAATTACTATGGAAATTAGTATGGAGAATTAACAAAAGGTATTTTCTCAAAAGAGTTAAAGACAGCATATTATAGTGATCTATATATATTTACATTTATAGCAACACAATTCATAACTGCTAAAAGTTGGAAACAGCCTACACATCTATCAACAGATGAATGGATAAAGAATGTGGAATTTACATACAATGGAGTACAACAGTGCCACGAAAAGGATAAACTTGAGACATTCACAGACAATGGATGCATCTGTGACCACAATACTAAGTGAAATATATCAGACACACAAGTTTAAGTATTTTATATTTTCATTTACAGAAGAAAACTAAATAAATAAAGAGCAAAATAAAGGATAAATCATAAGAGTAGACCAATCTTTTTCACATGAAAAGGGGAATAAGAGATGGAGGGGATGAAGGGAAGGGAAAGGAGACAAAAAGAAATGAGAGAAAAAAATAGCTAAAACTTGGAAGTAGCCTATTTGTTCACCAAAGATGAGTGGATAAGGAAAATAGTATTTATATAGAATATAGCACTCCTCTGCTATACAGAAGAATAAGCTGCAGTCATTTGCCAGCAAAACGATGTGCCTTGAATCTATATGTACCTATCCATAATGTAATAAAAAAGATACACAAATTTAAATATTGTCTCTTACATGAGAAACCAAAACATGAATCAAGAGCAGAATAATAGGTAGACAACAGGAAGCAGGGAGGTAGAACTTTCTCATGTTGGAAAGGGATCAAGAGATGGAGAGAGAAAGAAATGGAGTGAAAGAATATTTAAAAAAATTAAGATGTGTAATGTACATGAACCAACTCCCCACAAGAGATATAATCATGTATCACAAATAGGTACTAATGAAAAATAAAAATGAAAAAAACACAAAAATTTTAAGTCTCTCATACTTCCTTCCATGAACAATCTTCAACAAGTACATGCAGCCCACAGAAGCAGACGATGGTTTCCAAGGACTTGCAGAGGAAATGGGGAGCTGCTCATCAGCAGGTGCAGGGGATCAGGAACGGCGATGGATGAGCTCTGAGGCCGACCGTTAACACCAGGATTAGACTTGTTAAAAGTATTAAGATGGTAGGTCTCAAATGTGCAATAAAAATAAATAAAATAAGTACACGTTATTTATTTCAGGATGCTTTTTGCTTCATCTGTGAACAGGTCTTGCAAGCATGGGGTTGGGAGCGCTGACTTTACAAAAACTTTGACTTACAGGTTTTAGGAAGGGTTCTGTCAAGCAAAATTTTTTCTTGCACAATAACAATCAGCAGTTTTTTTCCTCATGAACTTTCTTGCATGTAAATAGCCCCAGAAGGTGGAATTTTACCTCTTATCTAAGATAATCAACAAAAGCGTGATCATATTTTCTTTTTTTCAGGACATATGCATTTGTTCACTGAAGTAGACAAACGCCCGATTAGAACAAAATGACACAACTCACTAGTCAAGCTACACTGGATTTTTAAAAATGCTTTCTTAACCTGAATGGAGCTCTGCCAAGAGAGAATCTTTAGTCAAAATCATACTTCAATTCTTATATTAGTATCTCTTCAAATAATAGGAATATTACCCACCAAGGTAAGTAATCTCAACTAGATATAAACTAATACATTTAATATCTTAGAGGCCACATTGATTAAACCAATATACAGGCTGTGCTCATTACCCTTAACTGTGACTAAGGCGGATTACCAGGAAAGGGTTGGATAGTTAAAGCGACAAAGCAACAAAAATAAAGCCTCAGCAGAAAAAAAAAAAAAATCAGACAGTAAAGAAAACTCATCCTGTCTAAGAAAAGTCAATATAAAGCACCCATGAAGCCTGCTGCAATGGAAAAATTAACTTAATCCATAACATGAGCCACAAGGAGCTTGGAAATAAGATTCCAGAAAAACTGCTCCATGCCAAAGTACAATGAGTCGTTCTACTAAAGCACTGACAGTCATGATGGTAATAACAAATGTGTCACCATCATTTTAAAAAAAAAAATTTAGCACATATTTGCCATTCACAGTGCTCACATTCATCTGGGAATTTGTACCTGTACATAGTATGTCTTAATTCTTCTTTTCCCATTTTGTCTTTTTAACCCTGATTCCCCTCTCCATTTACAGAAGCTTTGTTTCCATTTTTCCTTCTATTATGTATTTAATCCCTTTTCCCTTCCTTCCCTTCCCCTTTCACTCTCATTTGTTCCCGTTCCCATTTGAACATGTTCTATATATATATATATATCATCTGTTTTGCTCTTCATTTACTCTTAGGATTTCCCCCACAGGTGGAATAATGTGATATTTAAACTTGCATGTCCTATTTGTTTCACTTAAAATTATGATCTCAAGTTGCATCCATTTACCTACAAATGACACAAGTTTATCCTTTTTATGGCAGAGAAATACTCCATTGTATAGTAACACCACATTTTCTTTACCCATTCATCTGCTG